GTAACAGTGGTAGCCTATCAGCAGCGCTGGATAAGTCCGAGCAGCGTCGTAGCCAGGCTGTTATCGTTTATCGGCCAATGCTGCGCTAGTACAATGCTACGTGGATCGACGCGAGCGCTGAGGAAGCGATGTGTTCCTACCGGCCGACATGATTCGGAGCACAGGCGCGGCCTCGTGCCGTATGGCCTCCTCTAGCTTCCTAGGCCTCTAGTCTACTTTCCTACTCACCTCCGCCCCGCCCCCGCCCTCGCCTCGAGATAAATCTCAGGATCGACAAGCTTCATCCTTGATGTATGTACTTCGCGACTCGCGGGTCCAAATCGAGCGCCTGGGGCAGATTAGCGCCACGAAGCACCGGATCTAGAACGACCGTCATGGCCATGTAACCATGTGGTCCCCCTGGCGACGAGACCCGAACAAAGACGCGCGTGGGGTTCGGAGACCTCAGCCGTAGGTCACGGTGGATGTTGTGGTGAAGCGAAGGTGGCCCTGGGTTGGCCTGAGTCAATGCTATGGCGGGCGAGCTCCGGCGGTGGTCCCGGGCTCAGAGGGAGGCGTCGCACCCTTCCATCTTGGACGCGTCCATCGCCGGGCCCAAGGGGCAGAACACGACGCCCTGGGTGCGGCTCGCGGTGCCCGTGGAGTATGCCCCGAAGATTGGCGCGCCCTTGTACGCCTGGGGGTGGGCTTACCGAGCTTCGACATGGCCTGGATTGCGGCAACGCGCAACGGCTATTTCGAGCGTGCGCACGCAAAGTTCTTCGCCGCGTCCACCTCCACCAAGATGAGTCCGTTCCAATGAGTGCGGGGGAGCGGAAGAGGATCCGATGGTATTGCTGCGGGCCCATCTGCGGGCAGCCCCCGCCCGATCTACGCCTCAAGGAGACCCATGACGACGCCCTCACGAACCTGGAGCCCTCAGAGAAGAGGCATCGCGAAACGCGCAGGGATAGCAAGTTATTGAGGAGCTAGGGTTCGCGTCGCCACGGAGCGCTGGTCGAACGACAACATTGACGCGCCCTATGCGACCGGGCAGACGGTGCGGCCTATGGCTTCGGCGGCCTCGCTTTCGGCGGCCTTCCTGTTGAGCCCAGAGGTATGACGCCGCGCGAAAGAGAGCGCACTCGCGGCTGTTATCCACCAACCGGTGTCCTTTAGACTTGACGCACGCAGCGACAGCGTCTCGTGCCGCTACGCGGCGGGCCTTCCGGCAGCCGATAGGGCTTGAAGCTGTCGGGGGAGACGTGTCCGCATGTGAACACCGCGACGCGGCCGTGCACTAAGGCTGCGCTTCCTCCCGTCCAAGCTACGCCGTTGTACAGGAAGCGCAGCATCAGCCCCGGTCTCGGGAGTTTGTGAGGGCCTGCTTTCATTGATGAGGGCCGGGTAAGCTTGTCAGTGCGATCGACTCAAGAGAGCAGCGCGAATGCCCACGCATCCTCGCCCACGCCAGCCAGGCCTTTTTGAGCACGCTCTCCAGGGGAAGAGTTTGTTGTGCGGGGGTCGTGGGGCCTAGGTTCAATGGCTCGCAGCTTCCTCGTTCTAAGCGAGCCCCGACCTGCGCTTGGAACGATGCCCCCGCCCTCGTGAGCACAAGGCCGGGGCTTGCTTCAGCGGGGGGAGACTCGCGGCGGTGGCGAAGCGGTAGGCCTGTCCTGTCGAAGGGGGCGCCTGTCGGCGTCGTGTCGTCAGCAGGCTGCGCTATCGTGTTCAAACCGCCGACGAGGGCGCGGGGCGCGGGATGTTGGGCTCCACTCGACCGCACTCCCGCGCCCTTGGACAAGGCAGCGGAGACGAGGAGGGTGCTCACCCGGGCTGATAGCGGGCTTGTGCTTGGGGTGGATATGCCCTGCCGGCGGAGGAGAGCAGGAAGCGTACAGGCGTTGAAGTTGTCGGGCAGCCCTTGGACAGCCCTGAGCCCACGCTCGACAAGCCGCGTGTGTACATGTTTGTACATGTGTGTGTAAGTATGCTGCCTTGCATTATTGCTGACGCGCGCCCTGCCCGCGCCGACGCACTCAGTACTCAAGCTCAAGCTTCAAGCTGCGCAAGTCCTCAATATGAGCCCGCAAAACACCAAGAACGACACAAGCTCGGCTCGTACCGTCCCCCCGTCGTATGCCCGCAGCATAGCTCTATAGCGACGTCGTAAGTTGCCCCCGGTGTCTGCCATATTCCTCTGCTGAGGTCGTCCACAGATGGCGGGGCTTACATTGCCCGCCAGCTTGCACAATGGAGAGTAAGTTCTGTGCTTCTATCTTTGTTCTCAATTGGTCGTCGTCAGCACACACACACGCGTATAAAATTCGCCTTTGGGACGCCCCGTTGCGCTGCTTTCCCAGTCGTATGTCTCTCCGTCGACGCTGTCATGACCCACAATTTGCTCGCGACTTTGCCTCCCCGAGACGGCCTACCTGGTGTATCAATGTGAGGGCTTTGCTTGGATATGCATCCTGTGTGCTGATTGGCTGCCGCTTAGGCCCTTTCATGTCGCGTTCTACGCCAAAATACCAGATTTTAGGGAGTCCGTTGTTTCCCTCAGCCAGCGCGTCTGCGTAGGCGGTCGTCCTTCAACCTGCCTTGACGAGGAGTGGGACGGGGTGGAGCAGCCAGCTACGCTGCTTCTCATTCGCTTGCCTTCGGGCCACTGTGAGTACCGATGCCATTAGACCAAGGTTCTTTGTGTTCATTCTGTTCAAGATGCAGTCGCCGTTGGGTTCTTTTCCAGCACAGGAGACAGCAGGCATCGCGTGACCTTGCTGGATGGAGAAGTGAATGTTGAGTCAATTGAGGTGCGCTCCTTAGAGAGGACGTCGGGCCTTCTAGACTAATCATATTTTAGAGACGCCTGTTGATTCGCTGGACAACGCCCCTAGGCTGGTATAGGGTGAGGCTACACGACAAAGTGCAGTTCTGGGATGTTATGACGGGCTTCGCGCGCGTGAAGATGGAAGCCGCGCAGTCAAACGACCTTATCAAGACGGAGATCTTCACGCTCGAGGAGTACCTCTGCAACCTAGCCGACCGCGCGCTGTTCGAACAATTCGAGAGGCATTCAACGGAGGGAGTCACACCAAAGCCGGTGTCTATTCTCGCATGGTTTGCTTTTTTCCTCGGCCTGTTGATGGGCATTGTCGGTCTCGTGGTCGTATACGGCGTACAACAGTAGTTCCCGTGCTTTATAAATGCTATTGTCATTGTCGCGCGGACGCGTCTCTTGCAACGTTTCGCTAGATAGTGGTCGCCCTGTAATGTATTCCGAAAATTGCTACAACACGGCTCCCCGCTGGTATTGATGCCTACGTTCCATGGCGATCGTTGTTGTCGGTGATCTGAGTTTTGTGGCTTGGGTTAGATCTATGGGAGGATTAATGCGGAAGGATATGCCTCTGCAGCGGCCGGCGTTTGGCGGGCGCGGTGGCTAATATTGGCTACCACGTCTACGGCCGATGACTAAACGGACCTCTCTTCTCCTCCCTGGCTCGCGACCCCAGTTTCTCGAGTGTGATTCTCGCTGATAACCTAGATGTACTACATGCTCGAAAAGCTCACGCCTGTGGTTCTCTGCGTTTTGCATAAGGTGCTGTCGATGTAAGTGGGTATATCCGGTGTGTATTAGCGCTTTTTAAATGTGGACCGTGAACCCAGCCATAGATCAGGATCCAGCAGGCCAGAGACAACATGGAGGCTCTCTACATAATGATGTACGCACGAGCAACGAACATAGAGCACAGGTCATGTCGTGCAAAGTGTTGCCTAGTCAAGACTGCATTATGGGCAAAAACGGGAAACCATCACAGTTGACCACGCGAGGGTCGCACAATAATTGTTCCCTCGATATGTGCACTTCCTTCGACTCCTTGTATGCGCTCTCTGAAACATGTCGCTAGGACAACGTTCGGCGCGGCGATCCATCCCAATGCGACAACTTCACGAAGTATATAATGCGCATGGGCGAAGCAGCTCGCCTTGCCACTCACACGTATTGCGGAACACAGGCTTAGGTATGTTCAGCCCTCGCTACTTTGTAAGTTGCTGATCTTTGGTTGCAAGATGGCCTCGCCCCCTCCTGATGCCACCGCTGAGAGGAAGCGACGTCAGCATAGCCCCGACAATGCTGACAAGCTCGCCAGATCGCGCAAGGCGATCAACGTAAGGTCAGTTGTCGGTCCGAAGGCTGGGACATCATAACCCTCATTGACGGAACTTAGTGAGGCCCGCCTCCGTAGGTCTCTCCGTAAATCCCAAACAGAAGTCATCCAGTCACAAGTGTAAGCTCGCAGCTTCGTATTTCTAGCCTGGCTTCGAAAGGCTGAAAGATAAATTCCTGGACACAGAGGCGACGGGGTGCTCAACGCACCCGCCGCAGATTCGGGCGCGAAACTCACCATCAGAATCCCGGCGAGAGCGAGACAGGGCGGTCAGCGTGCTGCTAGGTATGTGGTGTGCGTCTGTTATTCGACTATGTACTGACAGTTGCTTCTTAGTCTACCTGCTGGGAGCGACGGGCATGCAGCTGCGGCTCCATCGTCATCTCAGGCAGGGCTACGCCCTGCGTTGGCGCTAGGTGACGGGCTTGTGCAATCGAGTGTTCCGAGCTCTGGTGTGGTCCCTGGACCGGGCCAAGTTCAGGCGTCTGGCGTTGTTTCAGAGGCTCCTGGGGACCGCGCGAGTGGTCTCTCACAACTGGTTATGCGTTCCAACCCTTACGTCGACCCAAATGGTTCACAAAGGCTCCCCGCGTTGCCGACCATACAATCCTACATCCCTGACTCTGTTTCCGCTTCGGTCACAGGCGTCCAGGACAGTCGCGACCTACCATCGCAAGACTCGCGATCCCTCAGTCGATCCATTTGTCGTGCTAAGTCGGAGGTTTCACATTTCGAATTCCATCCGGATGCGACGTATCGAGTCCATCGGGGCTCAGACGGCGCAAAAAATCGGAATGACAAGCCCCAGCAGACACTCCTAGAGCCTAACGGGCGCCGCATCACGCGTTCATCCTCCCTACCCCCCCAGCACGCCCTGGTCGTTAGCCCAACTGACGTCGCTGTTTGGAAACGGCAGGCTTCAGATGCGGACCGCCTATCTGCCAGGAAGCCATCTCGTACCCGGCGGGTGGGAGGTTCCATGGTGCAGGCCGGTGCGCCGCTACGCACCGTCACAATGCCTCCTCAACTGGACGTAATCACTGAGGACGATGAGTCTAGCCTTGGACACTCAGCCGCAGCCGCAGCGGATGAGCGACCCGAACCATCGACCTACGCGCAGCAACACACAGAGCCTCAAGCATCCGAAGGAGGACCGGCGTTGCCCGGGAGCCAGAACGACGTCTTTTCCCGTCCGCCGGCGTTGAACCAGCGCACAGATGACGACAGTAATATGTCGGATGCGTCGGATGAACCTCGGGTGTTGTTGAAGGCACTCGCGAGTCTCTCTCAACACCGCGATTTGGTGGATACGCTTCGAAAGATTGACTTCACCAGCTTCGCAGACGACGAAGATTTTTTGTGGGCTATGCGAGCACAAATGCTCGGACGTGACGTTCGCGATGGTCAATCTTCCACTAAGGCAACGCCCTGTTCGGCACCTCCATCTCGTGCCCTGCTGCATATTTTGCACTTGGCGACCACCGATGAGTCGCTCGTGGAATTTCTCGCTTCCTGCAACTATGACTACTATGCGCGCGACGAGGATTTCCTTGAGGCTGTCAAGACCTGCTTTTCCTCCGCGACAGAAGGTGCGAGTTCGACTTCGCTCAGTGATTCGGCTGAGATGCCGCCGCACCACATTATTTAGTGTGTCTTACACGTTCCGAACGTTAAAACCGGAGTGAGATTTGCCCGTTTCGAACGTGGCGGCCGGCGCCGGCCGGAGGGGTCCGGGTCCACGTTGCAGACGTGGACGTTGCCAGTGATCCGGCCGGAGATCATGCCGGCCGGTTCAGCCTCGTCCCCAACGTTGCGGCCGGCCCTGCCCTCCTCAAATACCACCTCCAATGTTGCGGCCGGGCTGTTTTCACCAGACGTTGCAACGCTCCGGCCGGAGCGCGTGCCAGCCCACCCCCCACTGCTCAACGCTCCGGCCAGAGTGCATGCCAGCCCTGCCCCCCCTCCTCAATGCTCCGGCCGGCCTGTTTTCACCGGACGTTGCAACGCTCCGGCCGGACTACACCCCGGCCGCCCCCCCTACTTCTGAACGATCCGCCCGGCCTCTTTCACCCAACGTTGCAATGCTCCGGCCGGAGGGTATGCCGGCCGGTCATCCCTCATTCCCAACGTTGCGGCCGGAGCAGGCAGAATTCAAAGTGGCCAGGCAGTCCACGCTGCAAACAGTCCGGCCGGTCAATAGATATAGCATTGCAAACGAGCCGGCCGGCCTCAGGCCCTACCACTACAAATGGTCCGGCCGGACTTTTTGCCGGCCGAAAACACAATGTCTCGGGCCGAGGGTACAGCCAAAACTCGGCCAAAGCAGCCAGCCATTTTGCCGGCCGAGCTTTTGCTTCACCCACCGGGCAAGCATTGTCTCGGGCCGAAAAGTTGACCATTTTCTCGGGCCGAAGATTTGAGTACTGCCTCGGGCCGAAGAGTTGGGCATTTTCTCGGGCCGAAGATTTGGCCGAAGCTCGGTGAAAACAGCCGGGCTGTCGGATTGCCATATACGGAAATTTGGTATTGACTGGTAGTACTTCATTGATAGACTATAGTATCAATTCCCTAGTGACCAAAGATGTCTAGTTAGGCCAGGATCATCAGGAAAAACCCATTTCTCTTGGGTGTACTTATAAGTCATATGGCTAACTTGACGAGCAAATATAGGCAACATGTTCCCTTACAAGCACAACAAGATAGAAAGAAATGCTTACTGGCCTTGTACACTTGGAAACTCCACCAGAGTGCCTTGTTTACGAAGACACTGTCTCTTTTTTACTTGTTCAAAGACACTCATGATTGTTATCCTTTGGCTGTAAAACTACAGTACTACTGCTGGTGCGCGCACCTTCGATCCGTCAGCCGTGTTTCAGTGCGGGGCATTTGCCCTGCACATTCGCGTTGCCCTGCATGTTGTGCTGGTCCGGCTGCGTCCTCCACCCTTGCCGCCCTCTCACCCACTCACTTGTGCCAGTGCGCGTTGTGCTGCATAACGCCGCACCCTCTACTGACCATCCCGCCCGGCGCTCGCCTCCCCGCCCGCTCGCCTCCCGCCCGCTCGCCTCCCCCCGCTCGCCTCCCGCCCGCTCGCCCCCGCCCGCTCGCCTCCCCGCCCTCTCGCCTGCAACCCTTCACCCTCTCACCAATTCACCAGCTCGCTCTCCCACTGACCCGCCCGCCCGCTCACCCTCCCGTTTTCTTGCCTGCACGCCTGCCCGCGTGTACGTTCGCCGACCATGTGTGGCCCGGGTAGTGGGCATTCCCCCGGCGCGCTTGCGGTCGGTGTATGCTGTCGCCTGCTGCCAGTGTGCTGTCAGCCCGCCTGCTCCATCGCGTGCCTGCCTCTGCCTACTCGCCAACTTGTCAGCTCACCTGCTCACGTGTTCGCGGAGGTCAGTTTTGTCGGACCTGTCGCGAGCCTGGCATGTCCTCGAGACCGATGCGGCCAGTGATGTTGACGAGCTGATTGACACGGCGTCGTCGCGTGTGTTGACCTCGTCGTGTATGTTGAGCGAGGCGCTTGGCGCACTCGACGATGGCACCTTGATAGAGTACTGTAAGAAGACGTGTCGGTTGTGCTGGATCACACACCGACTGCATTGCTTGGTGGAGCGTTGACCGAGCTGGGCTTGAGTCTTGACGATTGAAGAAGACATCGCCGACGTCCTTCTGAGTAAGTTGACGGCGATTGGTCATTGACGAAATAGTAAAAAAAACTGTTGCCCAACGTACCTGAAATGTCCGAATTGGAATACGCGGTAAGCACGTTAGGATCGTGCGTTGCTGAGCTCGTCGACAGTGCACACATCAAGCCTCGAGCTTGGTGTGCGCTGTGTACGAAGAGCAGATGCTGTAAGATGAGACGCATTTGCACGGCCGAACACATCGTGCGTCGTGACGCTGCAAGCCTCGTTAGCCAAGCCATCCGACGGATTTGATGGCTCCGTAAGGTTGCCAACACCGGATGCAGCGAGCTCGATGCTCATTGTATCATGCAACGGTGTGGGCGGCAGGCGCGAGTGCGTGGAGACGGAAGTCAGAGGGGTCACGGCGAGCACACTGGCGGGTGCGTTGCACACGTCGCAGGGATCGGCTGCACGTACGTCGGGCGGAGGGCTCGACGTACACGTAACGCGAGGCGGTATAGGGAAGGAATAGGACGACCCGGTGGAACTACTACGTCCTCCGGGCACGTCACTCAGGCTACGCCACGTACAGGCGTCGTGGTTGGCGACGAGCGGTGTTAGGAAAGCAGAACGAGTTGGTCTAGTGGAGCTTGGCGGCTCCCCAGATGCGCCGTCTCGCCAACTGCGAGCAGCAGACACGGCCGCCCTGCTGCACAAGCCCAGCACCTCGTGGTTAACCGTCTCTCGCGCATGAGAGGTCGACGAGCGTGCCGCGTACATTTGCGAGTACACCGGGCACAGCGCTGCTCTCGTCGACAGTGTGTACATCGAGCAGGATGCTCGATGTACTCTCCATGCGGTTGTTCACAGAAGAACGGGGCACGTCAGACGTGCAGCAATGCGCGTCCGACGTGTTGCCCTGCGGAACGTCGGGTACGACCAGGAGGTCGTCCCGGAAGATGGAAACACCATCTTCATGGCCAGCAGAGCGCACAACGGGCTTTGTGCTCGTTGGTAGACCTGCTCGTGCGGACAATTGCACGTTGGACGCGCAGCCCTGTGCGTCCGCCGTGTTGCCATCCGAACTAGAGGGTACAACATGGAGGTCGTCCCGGAAGGCGTAAGTGCCGCGTTCCTGGCTAGGCAAGACGCGCAACGAGCTTCGCGTTCATCGATACGCCTGCTGGTGCGGGCACTGGGAGCGGAGGGGGCAATGCAGGGACGGCCAACAAGGGCGTACCTGCGATTTTCGAGCCTTCGTGCTCGTTCTTCCTGCTCACCCCGCGCCCTTCCCCCTCCTCTCTCTTCCTCTTCTTCTCTTCTTCCTCGTTCTGCCTCCCTCGCGCTGCGCTCTCAGTGGTTTGCGCAGCCTTGTTGTTCGACACTGGACTTGCACGCGCGTCATGCGAGTCCTGGGCCGTGCGGCTTTGTTGCATGTCGCCGGAGCCGCGGAAATCCGGGTAGAAGTCGCCAGACACAAGAGAAGAGTCGTGAGGGTGAAATGGAGGGGTCCCGGGTAGGGTTGGAGGTCCGGGCGAGGAAGGAGGGGCAAGGAAGAAGACGTTGGAGACGGCAGTCTTGTACCACTCGTAGGGATGTCGGGTCCCCTAGCTGGCCAGAGCCGCGCAAACCCGAGTGAGGTCGCCAGACACGGGAGTAGGGTGATGAGGGTGGGATGGAGGGTTCCCGGTTAGTGTTTGAGGCCCAGGCGAGGAAGGAGACAGCGGTCTTGTACCACTGGTAGGGTTGTTGGGGGCCGGTAGCTGAGCTGTACGTGGTCGCAGACTTGAGCTTGCCTGTCCGTTGGGACAGCGCGAGCATCTTGACGAGGGGTCGGGCGGCCGTGGTGGTTGCCCGAGTCAAGGTGAGAGACGAGGAGATGCTGGTGGCGGTCGAGAGCTGGGCACTTGGTGCTAGCACTCGGAGCGCTCACCGTCGACACGGACTCGTGACTCTCAGCACCCTCGGTGTCGAGCGCGTCGCCAGCTGCATCCAGCGCGACGGTGACCGTGTCGAGCGCGTCGCTCGACCGAAATACGTTCATGCGTTGTAGTGCTGTACCGTATCCGAAGTGCGAGATATATTCAAGACGAAGGATTGTATTCTGAGTATAGTAGAGGTACTCTACCACAAAGTCTGGTAAGCGTACTTACTAGCCCAATTGTTCAGTAAAAATCTGGAGGCTCGGTCAAGCACTGAGTCCGAGGTCCAATTCTGTACGGAGGTATCATCGTGGTCTATCGTAGCCTGAGGAGCATTTGCGGTAGTGCGAGAGACGGTAGCGGGAAAGCGTGGAATCAACTGACATGACTGACGAATAGTACTCAACGGCACTATTTCTCCGGTTGGGTGTCCATTCGCACGAATGGGCATCTTGTTGACCTCGTACATCATGTGTACCGGGTCTGCACTCAAAGCCAATTTACCGTACCATTCGACGTAGGCTAGAGGTCCCCCTTGCTCCCATGCTGCAGGTGCGTGAATTTCTTGAAGTGTTGTATGTCATGTATCTTCTTCGGCAGTCGAAATATAACTCGCAGCCTCCCTATCCGCGTGCCTTCGGAGTCGGTGAGTATATATTAGCGTGCTCGCTCACAACAATGGAAACTTACCTTGCATTCCGGTGGCTTCTCCGTCCTCTCCACGCAGAACCACTACCGTGTCGAATCTGGCTGGCTGGCTTCCACAAGCCGGCCTTGCCTTGACACAGTCCTTCTCCTCCTTGTTGTCGGAGAGGGACGCAGTGTTGAATTTGAACCCGTGGAATACATCCAGACGGGCAAACGGGAGGTGGGACATCGCCTTCTCCAATTCTCTGGGGCTGAGTGGTCGTCCTAATTTCAGGGAGTATACGTACTGAGAAACTGCCGAGGAGAATCCAGGTGCGCTGTGTTTCTCCTCGATGGTCAGCAAGGATTGTCGTGATACAGAAGGGTGTTTAGGTAGCTTGATTCCGGGCGTATGACCTTCGCCTCCACGCGCGTTGCGGGCACCGAACTCGCTGAGGCTCTCAGCATCAGAGTCGGAGTCGTTCGCGTCCGAGTCGGTGCCAAGTCTGCACTGAAGCGTATCGTACATCGAAACCTTCTCGCGACGCTCGAGCCACTTGATCATCTGGGGCCGGGCATCGCGGTGGTTCGATGCACGCCATGCTTTCTTTGCGAGGTCGATATGGAGCCTTTCGAACATCTCCGTATTGAAGTTGTCGGTGGTCCCGAGGTTCCGAATCGATTCGACGTAGTGCAAGAGGGAGTGAATTTTTGGTATGTTCAAGTGTTCACGTACTCCGAGGTCGTTTAATACGTGCTTGTTCCTGTGGAATGTTTTCAGGGAGTCTTCTAAGTAACCGAGCGTTGTATCGTCGTGAGTCGGATACTGAGACAGATAGATGAAGTCTAGGAGAGATCGGAAGGCGAGCATTGCCGCCTTGGGGACCCGTCCGACAAGGCATCCGAGAAGGACTCGAGCGATGTCCTTCCGTTCGCCGCCTGAGACCTGAGACAGAGCCGATATTCCGTTCTTGAAATGACGCGTGCCGTATGCAGGTGGAAGGGTGCGTATGCGGTGGTCGAGCTCTTTGGGGTCCATGATCTGACCGCACCACTCCAGGATGTGCTTGAATACACCCTGATAGAGCTGGTGCAGCACGTCTGGAGTTATGCATGAGTGAATGTCGGTATACGGTAAGTCTTTCCAGAATGGATTGATGGCGTAACCCGATACGTTAAACTCCTTGCAGGCAGTGGAGAAGGCTGCCGAGTCTCTGTGGCCCTTCTCCCTGGCTTTACGGAGTACATCGAGGGTCCAAATCTGCGTACGTGGTATTCGTGCCGCAGCATCCTCGAGCCCGGTTTCGGGACACTGGCACACGGGACACGTACCGTACTTGGCACACCCGACCAAGCACTGCTCGGGATAGTCCGCGACGTAGGACGCTAGGATGGGATGAACTCGGCGTATTTTTCCGTCGCCCCCTGTCACGTCCACGCCCTCTTTGCCAGCTTGGATGAGAGGCTCTACGATGATCCGCATTGAGGCGTGAAATAACTGCTGAACCAGCGCCCTCTGCTTCTTCTCCGTAATGCCGGTCGAGTCAACCTTGTCAACAGACAGGTAGCCAATGAGAATGCATGCGTGTTCAGACGGCTTACGGCGTAATTCTTTAGGTATGTTGCCAAGAGTCATATACACGGGGTACGCCGCCTTGTTGCCGGAGAATTGGGTGAGTTGGGTCTTGTCAGTTGCTAAAATCACCGGTGCTACGGCGGATCCGATGGGGAGGAGGCTCTAAGCGGTCGTAGTTTACTTAGTAAAGTGAGATGACAATAGCGAGACGTACTCACTTGAACTGCGTTCCACCATTTTCCTGTCCACATTTCTGTATAGATTCTGTTCTTACGCGTAGAGTTGGAGAATATTCGACTGGGCCGGTAAACGATACGGTCCGCGTGAGCTGGGTTGCCGAGCAACGCCTTGATGGCCTCTATGATATCGCGGAATTGAACTAGGTGCGTCTCACCAGGCCTATCCTTGAACGAGATCCATCGCTCCTGCCAGCCTGCCCTCTCTGGAATGGCGTCGACTTTCTGCAGTAAGGCTCGATTGTTGTGGTAAGACAACCCTAGTTTTTCTCTCACCTGATTGGGACATCAGATGTTATTTCACGGTCCTAGAAGTCTGTTACTCACTTGCGGTATGCGCAGAAATCTGTCCACTGCCCCTTGCCCTATCCCCTCTTTGATAAACCACTTCGCTATCTCCCAGTCCGTCTCTCCGCTGAACGGATCCCATACTTCACTGGCGGGTGAGCTGTCTTGCGCATCTGAGATTTTGTCATTTGATGTACTTCATGTTCTACACAGATGCATACTCACCGGTTCTGTCGCCGCTCTGGCTGGAGAGATGCTTTCTCCACGTCTCCCTAACAGTCTCTCCGTCGCCCTTAACCTCCCCAGCATTCCTATCCACATCCTCAACGCGTTCGTCTTCATCATCATCCAGTGAAACGGCTGTACGCCGTTTCGGCTTTGACGGCGAGGATGTGGACGGGGCAGATGTGGACGGGGTGGACGGGGTTGATGCGGACACCCGGCTGGGACCAGCCTGAGCTATGGGTATGAAATGGTATGACCATCGTATTGCTCGTGTTCATCGTGTTCATCACTTTCTTCACCTGACAGCTCGTCGTGATGGAAATCTAGAGATGCGTCATATACGCTGAGTCGCATATCGACTTGTTGAATAGCCCACCTTGTAAATTTTGCGTGTCTTCCTGACTGTGTGAGCTGGATCCATGTCGTTGTTCTGGACTAGAAGACCTTCAATAACGTCATTTCTAAGGTGTATAGTCACTACGGAATTACTCACCTTGAGTCGCGTTTGACTTCCTCAGCCTCAGACTCGGACTCTCCATCATGGTCTTCGTCGACGTAAGTTTCCCTTAGTTTGCCCTTTTTGTACCATGCACATTGGCGGCTGGTAGATTGATGCGATGCGAGGCCTTGCATAGTATCAAAAGGTCTGTTGCACGCATCGCACGTCGGGCCCAACAAATCGGCGAAAGAAAATAATCGCTTTTTAGGCATGCCTGGCCCGTAGTTGAAGGCTTTTCATTGTCAGAGAAATTGAATCACTCACTGGTGGTCTGTCAAGAGTGAATATAAACCGGGTTACTCACTGCCGGACTTTCAAGAGTGATGCGCCGTAGAATCCGATGCAAAAATTCGGGGAGAATGAAGGCTGGGCGCGACGGATGCTACAGTGTTGATATTAATATTCGGTACCTTGGGCTCCTTCCTCACTTGGCCAAGAGTCCCACCCGAACTTGACAGGCGGCGCTCGTCAGGGCCGCCCTCCAGCGTCTCACACTTCTGCTCCTTGCTGCAAAGTTCGCTCGTCCCACCGACGCAGAAACTGAGAATTGTTCAACTCTATCAAACTCAGTACGTTCACGTTCAGTATCACAGGGACGCATATCCACTATACTGAGCCTTTCATTCACCATTCGTGTTACGTTGTCCGGGTACATAGTCCTATTCCAAAGGCGTTGCAAGCGGCGAGCTGCCCTCACCGTGACAGTGGCATCCGTTCATACTAGCATCATTTGACTTGTGGTGAGTTCAATAACCATTCTCTGGATCATGTGAAACATACCTCCACGTTACAACGCTTTCCTGCCCTGCACTGGTCCATTGGCAGTGTATGTATGGGTCCGATTCGTGCGCATGTCCTGGCTCCCTTCTGCACATTCTATTATTAGCCATGTGCCACATTGGGATTGCGCGGTGATACCGCGCGATCCTAATATGGACTAGTGCTGTGGGCGTCTACACATCCATTGATCGGCGATCGCGGAGCCGCGGCCCCCGCCTCCGCCTTGCACTCCATTAACCTTCAAGTCTCATACCCTCTCGCACCGTCTTCCGCACGCTGCATTTCGGCGGTCTGCTGGTGGCTCTCTGGGTGTGGGGGATACTTGGCTCCCGAAGTTACCGGTATGTTGGTTCCGTTCAATTTCTTCGGGCAATGAGCCAAGTGCTGCACGGTCATGGTGTTAAGGTCCGATAGTCAGCCCCACCGGCTGTAACCGGGTCACTTGACTACCGAGCGGCCCGTTACATAACGGCGGACCGTTACATAACTATGCCAGGGTTCTGGGTTCCCGTCGTGTTACGGCGTTGCCCCCACTGAGTCATGCAGGTCCCCCCTCCGAGTGCCTACTCGTACGCTGAGGCGTACAACGGGCTCAGCCCTCGGGACGACAGTCCCGTCGTGCTTTTCGGCTCCCTCGACTCACAAATCTTCGCAGATCATTTCGAAGGCGGGGGAAAGTCGTACTACTACACGGGATCGCCTCGTGCATCGAGGGTCAGCAATTTGAGTGAAAGTGAGTTCACAATGCTCTCGCCATTTCGCATCAATAACAACAAATCCTTGTACAGCACCGCCACTCTCTGACATCACTTCAGAGGGCGTAGATACGTCGAGTGAAGACGAGGAAGATTATCTAGAGGTGTTGCGCAAGTGGCCCGCCGCTCAACGTGTGTTTGGTAGTTCGCTGGAGCACGCGGACTTTCCAAAGGTCTACCGCGCCGTACAGGTAAGCATCCATAGCCATGAAAAGGCCGTGCATACGATTTGATCTTCTCAACGTTAGGAGACCGAGCTTTCTCGCGAGGAGTGGAGGCAGCTGCGATCGTTCCTAATCCAACACCCCTTCATTGTCCGGCATTTCTGGTAGGTTTGCTCAACGTATCGGTAATGCTGATCCGTAGTAATGCTCTCATCTGATATACAGGTTCGACTACGATATGGTCAAACAAACTATCACTTCCGGTTCCCCGGGCACCCTTCATCAAGTCGTCGCTCCTATGATCGATAAAGTGGTCGTGAAGCCAATTATCAAACCGTGGATGGAGCGCTACCCCCTCGACTACGCGTACCTCCAGCAGATTCCGGGCCAGATGGACGTATCATCAGACCGGTTGGCAGTGCCGGACGTCACCATCAATCTCCTCTTTAGACCACCTAAGACTACCTCAGACCAGAACGACTTCGAGCTGGTGGTTGTGGAGAACGCTCACTTCGAGAAGACCACCCATGTCTTGCAGAAGGTACGTCGGATGTCTGGCTTTCAAACAGCTCGCTCACCGGTTTGACAGACGGCCCGGATGATGATCCGTGGACGCAATCAGGACGCCAGCTTGCGAGTGCCTGCGGAGGAGCGCATGGAGTCCACGGATGCATTGTCGGCCTCACAGACTAGCACGAGTTCGGACGACTCGAGCAAGCTTTCCGCGCTCACCTCGCGGACTAGCGAGAGTTCGGGCCACTCGAGTAACCCTCCAGCTCTCCCGTCACTGTCTGACCAGAACGTACGCGAACGCCACGTCATTATGGACGCGCACGGCGAACTGTCCGATCTAAGCTCTCTCACGATCTCGCACGAGGACGAGGGGTCGCAGACCAGGACTTACAAATCCACGACATACATCGTCGTCATCCTCGAGGAGACCCACGTAGATACTACCCAGGCGGAGCTACCTGATACGGTCGATATCAAACCTCACCGTTGGCAGGAGCTTCCGCTCGACGACGATTGCATCTGCGGCGGGTGGGCGTACGGGGGTAAAGTGTATGTCGGGCGGACCCGTGCGGTCGTGTTGGCGTTCCAGGGGTCGGACGATGCCAAACTCTTGATGCTGCGGGCGGGGTCCTTCACACTGGCCGACTGGATTTACCACCACAAGGCGTTGGTGAGTGCGCTACAGCATCATTACATCGATCAATGCTGATTGCAGTTGGTTTTACCATAGCGTTTGCGCTCGAACTGGGCCACAGCGACCGACGAGGAACTGTGGCAGCGTGACGCTTTCTTGGGGGAAACGTGGTATCGCTGCATGGGTGAGATACGACACCAGATTTTCTGCCACACCACCATGGGCCGGTACTGGTTGAACCCATCGATCGACGTGGATCCTGAAGTTTATATCAAGACACTGGGTGATGAGGAAGACGACCTCAACTATCAGGATCCACCAATGACAGATCCCTCCGTCAACATGCAGATGGAACTCCGGCACGCGGCGTATACTAATGCGCTGGAGCGTCGGGCCAAGAACCAGCCTGCCGCTGCGTGTTAGGGCTCGACGAATCGAGTCCTGGACACAGGGGACGGGCTACTCGGCGAACCTAACTTGGTGGTCGCTCCGCGACCGGGCAGACGAACGTGGCGAGTCGTGAGGTCGTGAAAGGCGTATAGCCCGTAAGAGTCGTACGAAGACGACGAGTCTTCGTTAAGGTCGTTCACGCGGCTATAGGGCACGCGCTGGCAGTCGGCGACGAGCCAGGCTGTTGCGGGGATCGGCGACGAGCTTACCCCAAGGCGAAGCGACGAGCTAACGCCTTTTGTACGAGAGTGCGACGAGCACTCTCGCTTGAGACCGAATCCCTAGTTCGTACGGCGCGAATAGATCGAGCGCGGACGAAGTGGTTGGGAGTAAAAGGCTAACTTCCATTTCGGTATGGCGCGCGCTCTACGGAGACGCGCGCCTACGAATACAAATATAGTAACAACGTAACTAAATACGGTAGGCGTACATTAATAGTTAGGCCCGGGCAACGAATGCCTGCGGGTCGCGGTTGTTATATGTAGCACGGAATAGATTAACGTACGCAGTCTTGATTCTATCCGTAGCGTCCGTAACAGAGCCCCCCACCGCGGCTCGTAGGTCTTGAGCAATGTCCGGCCGAGGCTCCAACTCTAAGAGGATTCTCCCTAACGCGTACCAATGCTTGAGGCGAACTATGTCATCCTCGCTGTCGAGGCAGCGCGGTTCGGAGAAGGCGGGGTAATACGATGAGTTCGCCCCCCAGGCGCGTCGCAGACGATCGCGGATATCGGCCCAGATCGCTCCTCGAACTTCATTTGACGTAGCGTTCCTCAGCGCCGGATGCCGTCCCACCACCAAACGTTCGACGTTGAGTCGGAAGTGGTAGGTTCCCAACTCCCACACCTCTCGATCGACTTCTCCCGGGAGGGGATTGCGGAGAGGGGCAACTTCCTGATCCGTCAAGGGGCGAGCCATGGACTTGCTCAGTGCGACGTTAAGATGCTGAGGAGCTTTGAGGCGGGACTTCCAACCCTTGTGCTTGGTAGGCTTCCACGTTCCCGGAAGCTTGTGCAGAGCATCGACATGCGTCTGACGCGTCTTCAACCACCGAAGGATCGCGATGTAGCCGTCGTCGCCCTCCATTCGTAGGATAGCAGGGAAGGGCATGATGTGCGCGTTCTCGGGGGGAGTTGTGGTTCCGGGCCTCGGTCGTGCTCCCAGGCTAAGCGGCCTACGGGGATGTCTCCATCTCGCTCGAAGGGGTGGCGAAGAAAAGCGTCCACTTCGGCAGCCGAGAAGAGCGGCAGCTTAGTCCGAACTGGCGCTCCCGAGGAGAGAGTGACCACATGGAACTCGTCGGCGAGGGGAAGGTCTCCGGATGGTCGTTCTTCTGTCGAACTCGATGCAACGGGATGGTTGGTCAACCGATCCCCCAATGGGACACCTACGCGAGCGAATAGCGAGCGAGGCTCTTCGAGCCTATCAAGGAGGGGTCGGTTGAGGTCGCGCTCGTAGGAGCTGGTTCCCGGTTGAGGAGTCTCCGCTTCCGTCATCGACAGTCGATCCGCTAGTGAGCGAGAGGACGAGACCGGCGCAGGGTGTGCCATGCGCTCTTCCAGGGAGAGAGTCGATACAGGGATAGGAGGAGCCCTGGAGAGAGAGCGGCGGCGACCGTGCTCGGACCTGACGGGGCTTCGACCTCGATCTTCTCGTCCCAATTCCCTACGATCCGAGGGTCGCCTGAACGAGTCCCGGGGAGGCGAGCGGGGACGTCGAGGACCGGTATCAGGTCGGTAGGAGTCGCGGGCTCTCCGGTCGCGTCGTGGCGAACGACTCCGGTAGCCTCGACGAGGAGGGGAACGGAGAGAAGCTCGTTCGTAGGGGCGTGAACGACCGTAATTCCGTGGGGACCGAGGAGGAGAGTGACGATGGCGGGGAGACCTCGACCGCGAGAAATTGCGGCGCGCATCCCGGGGAGAGGTTGAGCGGCCTCGGTGCGTCGGAGGGAGGTTGGTCGGCAGTGCGGGCGACAGAGGACGAGATTCCTTCAGTTTGCCTTTGTCGGCGCCCGTTAGTCGGGGCAGCGGAGAGATCCTCCCCTGCGCGAGCTCTTGATCGGCCCCCGGTTCCGGCGAAGGGGGCAAGGAGAACGCCATTGGTGAGTCCTTTCGGAGGGGCGAAGAGTTCGCACCGCTCCGAAGAGGAGTGGCCGAGCAGTCCTCAACGGAGTTCGCCGTCGCCCGGCCTTCTTGAAGGGGCGAAGAGTTCGCTCCACTTCGAGGAGCGGTTTTTGAGCGATCCTCCGAGGAGGTCAACATCGGCGTGTCTCCTTGAAGGGGCGAAAGGTTCGCTCCGCTTCGAGGAGGGGACGCGGGGCTATCCTCCATGACTACATCGGGAGAGGGGTGGTTGTTCCAAGCGTCCTCATCTCCCGGGAAGGATGTCGCAGCGAGGGCTGGCGGGAAGACTGGTTCAGCTCCCGAGGAAGTGGAAGCGACGGGGGGAGAGCACACGGGCACGGGAAACTTCACGTAGTTGAAGTCCGGGTCCTCATCCGCGCTGTCCAATTCTTCTTCCTCTTCTCGCTGCCTCTTCCGAGACTTTCGGTTGGATGGCGCTTTAGGCGCGTGATCCGTATCGTCCCAGTATTCCAGCAGCAAGCGGAGGTCGAGACGAGCGAAGGAGTCTTGCACGACGGAAGGGGAGGGAGGCTTGCGAGTCACACACCATACGGGGACTCCGAACCATACGAGCCGCTTCAGGACTTCCGTGTCGTCCTCGTCGACCCAACTTCCCATCCCGAGGAGCCTCGTCTCAGGAGCACTCATGAATCCTTCGTCGAACACCATCTGTAGATACCTCTTGTGCGAATAGCCTCGCAGTTCGAGGAGGTGTCGTTGAATGAGAGCGACGTCCTTCCGGAAGGGGAACAGCTTCAACGAGGCGCTGCTGAATCGATAGAGGGCATCTTGGACCTCGGCGGGGCGGAGGCGAAGACTGCGGGGGGGAGACGGGTCGGCGAGGAAATAGTCGTTGGCTCGCGTGAGTTCGGCCTGGTAGAGCGTTTGGAGGGCTCGAGAGAACTCGGGAGTGGGCACCCCCTGTCCGTTCTGATAGCTCATGACGTGGAAGGTGCCCCTCTTCCTTCCTTTCGTGAAGTCGAGAGTCACGTAGGCAGGGTCGACTCCTTCTTCGGAGGGAGGAACCTCGTAGATGAAGGCGCGATGCCCTTGCGCACTAGCCCAGTATTGAGGGTGGAAACCCGGTTCGAAGAGGCCTGTTCTTCCGTCCGCGAATACCTCCTCTAGCGCGTCTTGTTGAGGAGGAAGCGAGGGCACGTAGGGGGCGTTTGGTGATACAGCCCATACTCCCGGGCTGAGGGCTACAGCCGAGCGAGTCCTGCGGTGCGCTTGGAAGTGGGTCCAGGCCGAATTCCGAGCCTGGGGCATGGCGGGAGCAATGCGATAGTCGTGAGGGAGGAAGAGAGTCTCCCGGAAGCGAAGCAAGGAGGACGAGGAAGGGCCGGACATGACGATTTGAGTTGTAGTCGGACGAGGAAGGAGCAGGAGTGACGGCGTTCAATCGAAGAGCGCGTGAAGAGCGGACGATCCGCACGTTCACAAGTTCAACGAAGATAGCAAGGAGCGAAGAGTTCGCTCGCTTGCGTGAAGAAGATGAGGGGGAGAGAGAGAGGAAGTGAGTAGCGCGCGAAGTGAACTGTGGCTGCACTTAGCCGCGTCGCGGTCACATGACAGACGCGGGGTCGAAAGCGCCGACGTGTCGGTGGGCGGAATTAGAGCGGGAAGGGACTAGAAGTATGAGAGAAAGGAACTATCTACTACTATCTACGGTTACTTCCTACAATTGGTCTTATGTACTGTAGTAGCTGTTACTTTGAGTGAAACGTCTAACGCGTAAGGCCTTGCGATGCTTTGTATTCTCGTAGAATCTCGTGCGCGTTCCTAAGGTGAGCGGAGGGTTCCCAAGTGTCGTGTATGGGGCCGTAGTGTTTCCACCGCACTAGGAACTCCAAACGGTTCTTCTTCGACTTATTCCTTCTCCAGGCTACGATGCGATCGACCTCGTATTCCTCGGAGGCGAGGAGATCAGATTGTCGAGGGTCAGGTAGCGTGGGCCGGTCCAAGCCTTCGTAGGAGGCGTCGGACTCACGGTATCTTCGCAAGTGTTCGATACTAATGACGGGATTCATTGGATAGGTATCGGGGATAGCCAGGCGGTAGACGAGAGGATTGACTTGTTCTTGCACGGGGAAGGGGCCGAGCATCCGTTGCACCAGTTTCTTACCCGTTCCTTTCACGTCCACTAACTCCAGAGTGTGCGGGTTTACTAGCACTCTCGAGCCGACGGGAAATGTTTCGGGTCTCCGTCCTTTGTTGTAGTTCCTTGCCGCCTGTTCTTGAGCTATGGCTATAGCATCCCGAGCGCGTTGGCGGTAGAGCTCCATTTCCATGGCGAAGTCGGTCGCCCGTTCGCTGGCAAGTTGCGGGCGTTCCACGTATCGACCGTTTTTGCTGAGGAAGTCCAGCGAGCCTTTAGGGTGGAAACCGTACAACAGAAAGTACGGGGATTGACCAGTGGCGGAGTGAACGGAAGAGTTGTAAGCATGCGAGAGAGCCGGCAGCCATTTCGACCATCCGCTGCGGTCGCCTTGGATATAAGCTCTCAGCATCGTCTCGATGCGTTGGTTCACAATCTCCGTCTGTCCATCGTGTTGCGGGTGGTGCGAAGAAGACAAGCATAGGTGAATTCCCAGCTCGGCGGCGACCGCTCTCCAGAACTCTGACGTCCACCGACCGTCGCGGTCGCAAATGATGTGTTCAGGGATTCCGAACCGGTATACGATGTGTTGTACGAATAGTCGAGCGAACTCTACGGTGTTCAGCGTTCCTTCGCAGGGAATGAACAGTCCGAATTTCGTACAGCGGTCTACTATCACTAATATGGCGTCGTAGCCATTTGACCGTGGCAGACCGGTGATGAGGTCGAAGGAAATCCATTCAAAAGGACGATTGGGTATAGGATTGGGTCGTAGCAGTCCGGCCTTCGCTCTTCGATCCGTCTTGGTCTTCTGGCATACGTCGCAAGACATGGCGTAGTCCCGGACATCTCTTCGAAGAGAGGGCCAAAAGAATCTTTCGTTTATTCTCCAAGCCAACTTCCGAGGGCCTTCGTGGGCTGCTTCGTAAGGGGAGTCGTGCAACCGTGCGATCAAGGGAAACACTTCGGACCTGGGCACACATAGCCTGGCTGGGTCGGAGCCCGTGCGAATGTATAATAGGCCTGCGTCGTCGGTGAAGAAGCATTGCCCGGAGAATCTTTGCAGACCCGGCTCACTAGCTTTCCTCCACTTGTCTCGGAAGAAGGGGTCCTTCGCATAGCCTTCGACGAAGTTGTTCCTGTACTCGGAACTCATTTCGATGAGTAGAGTCGGCAGGGATACGTCTCTGTCGGGCGAATACAGTTGACTGGGATCTTCTGACTCTTCCGGGCTTGTTGTACTTGTCGCTGGTTGTCCTTGCGCTGTCGCGGGGTAAACCAGACGATCTAGGCTTAGATGGGGAGGAGTTCCTCCCGCAGCTTCGCTATCGTCGCCTGGGAGGGGAGGAGTTCCTCCCGCTTCCATGCTGGTTTGGCTCTCGGCGTAGGGATGGTCCTGGTCATGTTCATCGTCGTCGACTGGAAGGGGAGGTGTTCCTCCCGCTTCCACATTGGTTTGGCGTTCGGCGTAGAATTGATCTTGGTCTTGGTAGCTGGTATGTACTACTTCCAGCTCCTCGCCCCCACGCCGAAGGACGAAGTACCGGGATGTGTGAGGGAGAACCCGGTCGTCGGCGGGGTTGATTCGAGCACCGTTTCCCAAGAAGCGAGGGTCGACGCTGTCGCCGTGAGTCTGGAAGCTGGCGCGCGGTCGGCGGCGGTTTCCGCTGCTTCGGGAGTCGTTGGGTCCGGAACAATGGGGATCGAAAGGTCTTCCATAGGGGATTGATGGTCCGGAGGAAGTCGCGGTAGTCGCGATAGTGGATCTACGTTGGAGTGGACCCGACCGGCACGGTGCACAATGTCTAGGTGCGGCATGAATGCGGCGAAGACCGCCCCCCAGGCCGCTAGACGTCGATTGGTGTTCTCGTAAGTTCGAGCCCATTGTAGAGCGGCGTGATCGGTGACTAGAGTTACCTCTTCTCCTTCGATGAACGGCTGGAAGCGGATTAGCCCTTCTTTAGCTGCCAAGGCCTCGCGTTCCGTGGCGGAATAGTTGCGTTCGGCGGGTTTGCACGTCCGACTCCAATAAGCTATCACGCGTTCTACATGGACGAATGTTTCATCCAATGTAGAAGCCCAAGCGGACGGAGCGGGGCAGTCGTTGAATTTGCTCGAGGTCTTGTTAACGAGGACGGGTACTGAAGTGCGATCCTTATAGGCTTTAGCCAACCGGTCGTAGGTGCGAGTACCTTTCAGATCACTGATTCGGATGGGTTGAACTTGTTGCAGGCAGGCTCCTAGAGCTACGTCGGAGGCGTCGGTATACAGCCGGTACGGTTGGCCCGGGATAGCGTGTGCGAGTACGGGAGCGGATTGAAGAGCGTCTTTCGCGCGTTGCCAAGCGGATTCGCATTCCGCCGTCCATGCCCATTTGTGATCCTTCTTTAATAACTCGAAGAGCGGAGATACGACGAAGGAGTAGTAGGGAATGTAAGCGGCGAAGTATACGGTCATACCCAGGAAGGTTTGTAGATCCGAGATGCGTTTGGGACGTGCGAGCTCCATCACCGCGCGGACCTTTTCTTGATGAGTTGAGAATCCGAGCCGGGATACCTTCTGTCCGAGTAGTAGGATCGAGGTGTAGCCGAAGTGGCACTTAGGTGGAGATAGCGTTATACCAGAGCGGATGATTGCTTGTAGAACCTTGTCGAGATGCCCGATGTGCTCGTGCCAGGAGCGAGAATAGACGACAATGTCGTCGATGTAGACTAGTGCGAAGAGCCACAGGTACGGTGCGAGCACGCCTTGCATTACGCGCTGGAAAGCGGACGGTCCGTTACGTAGCCCGAAAGGGAGTCGTTTGAATTGAAACAAGCCTCGATGAGAGCGGAAAGCTGTTTTTTCCCGGTCGTTTTCGGCGATGTTTAACTGCGTGAATCCGGATAGAGCGTCCAAGGAAGTGAGAACTTGGGCACCCGTGAGGGCTTGTAAAATCTCATTCTGTCTCGGGATAGGGAATTCGTCCGCCACCGTCACTGAGTTCAGTCGTCGGTAATCGACGCATAAGCGCGGTTTGCCATTGCGGTAGGCTATGAGAACGGGAGCACCCCATGGACTATTAGAAGGTTCGATAACATCCAGGGCGAGCCAAGCGTCGTGTTGCTTGTCGATCACATCGCGTTTGGCCGGGGACGCGGTATACATGGGCAGCGAGATTGGTTTAGCCTCCGGGACGGTCTTGATTTCAACTTCGGTGGGATTGTGTCCCAATCGTCCGTCAAACGCGAAGGCCGCTTGGTTTGTTTCGAGCATCCGTATCAGCTTGTCCCGTTCCTCGGCCGGCCATTCGGGTCCGATGTCAAGAATTTCCGTTAGCTGGCTCGAAGGATAGGTCTCTGTGTCCGGTAACTCCGCGGTCTTAGGACCCCACTGCTCCTGTGGAGAAGGAGAGTCATCGGTGGGTGTATCGTCGTCGCGGGGCGTTTCCATTGCGCTACGGATGAGAGTTTGTACTGCTAAGGCGTGGGCCTCGAGTTCGGTACTACTGGGCGAGAAGTACGAATCGGGGTCGTGGAGGAGCCCAAGCGATTCACCCCGTCGGACTATGTATGGCCTGTCCGTAGGGTTCGTGACCGGGATGCAGGCATGTTCCGCGTCGATGATAGTCGGAGTGGTCAGTAGGAACGAGCCGTCGGGTTGGCCGAGAACAGTCTTCTCGATGAACCAAGATTTATGGCTACTGAAATCCACTTGGATCGGGACGGAACAACAGGAGTGCGGAGAAATCCGCACGTCCTGTTGTGCAACCGCGGTGGGTCTGTCCCTCTTCAATCGCTCTCGATGCCGATTAGCTTGTCGTCTACGATGCGTTTTCGCTCTTACGAAACTAGCGGACGCGTTCTTAGTCATGACCTTGAGTCGTGGTCGCTCGTGTCGCACAGCCGAGGACGCCGGGATGGAATACCCCGTATCGCTGACCTTGATGGCGGACCCTTCAGCGAGGCTTCGGGTGACGCTCAGCTCGTAGTTGACATGAAAATCCTCGCCGAGAAGAAGGGGCGCGGACATGCCGGGAACGACGTAGCACTCGGCGACCATCTTGAGAACGTGGCCCTGTTCGGTTTCCACGTACACTTGGGTTTGGACGTAACCTGTGATCCGGAATCCCCCCGTGAGTTGGAAGAGATTCATGCGTAGACCCTGCCGGATTTTAGGTCGAGAAGCAGAAGGGAGCGTCTCGAGGTACTCCTGCGAGATCAGCGAGATGTCCGCTCCCGAATCGGCTCGGCAGGTCACTAAGGGATGAGACAGGCTCCCGAACCGCAACTGGAAGGATAGAGCCGCTACCCCCACAGTAGAATGACCAGCCGGAGGATCACGTATGCGCGGTATCATTACTACTTTGGACTCGGGAGGAGGTAGACCCGACGCATTTACAGGAGCGAATGGTTCGCGCGCTGTAGCGTCTACAGGAGCGAATGGTTCGCTCGCTGTAGGGTCTACAGGAGCGAATGATTCGCTCGCTGTAGACTTAGTACTAGCGAAGGCTCTGCGCTCGGGTAGATGGTGGGTAGAACCGTCCACGGCCAGTGCTTCCGCTAACATGCCTTCTAATCTTTCTTCCGCAGCCCGTTCAGGACGAGCATCCTCCATGATGAAAGGGTGGTTAGGCGGAAGAGAGTCAGAAGGGAGGGTGGACGGCTCGGGTTCGTCCTCGACAACCACGGCATACGTACGGCGGCGCTGGCTGACGGTGGCCTTCAAGTACTCGCCTTCAGAACGGCGAATGTCCGCCCACAAAGCGCTAGAAAGTCTTGCATTGTTAAGGTTACTACAAATATACGCGACGAAAGCCTGGTTGTACTCTTCATTTTCTTCTGCGTCGCAATCGTGCTCCGCGCCGATGAACAGAGCTTGTCGTCCTATGTCGTATTCGTTCCAGTGCGGACAGTCTCGATCCCAGTGGAAAGGGCTGCCGCAGACCCTGCAGTCGCCGGGCGGCGGGCGCTTGCTTTTGACAGAGTCATTCCTTGGAAATCGAGGACCAGCCCTAGGAGGCTTCCTTCCAGCGCCGCGCGGGCGTCCTGACGCGGTCTTCTGGTTATGCACCGTGGCCACTTGAGCTTCCAACGCGGGGTCCTCAGCTTGACTCGTAGGAGCGAAGTCCTCGCTCGCTACGGCTCCAGCTGGTTGAGAAGGTGTGTCGCCGTCGTCATCGACTTCAAAGTTGAATCCTCCTCCGAGACCGTCGACCGCGAAAGCGCGACGCGCTCGTATGAACGGCCGAGTCTCCTTCTTGGCTGCTGGGAGTTTCAGTACTTGTTCGTATTGCGACGAGTTGGCGGGTGCCATAGAAGCGAACGCGACGAGTTCGTCCTTCTTGTCAGAAACTTTGGCCAAGAGGGCTGCTATGGTGCTAATCGAGTCGAGGGACAAGACGGTGGACCAAGTCGGAGGGACGTTCTGCATAACCGCGGCGATTTCATCGAGTTGCGTCTCTCGAGCGCTAGTGAGATGTCGATGGTATAGGATCCTTCGATTGATGAAGTCGAGGGGTTGTTCCTTCTCGTACCCAGCTTGCCTAAAGCGTTGTCCATCGTATTGAGTGCGTAACGCTACCAGGAACTTGAAGGTAAAAGACTGCAACTTGATGCCTTCGTAGAGGTTCCACCATCCAGCGGAGTATAGCTTTTGCGTTTCATATCCCAGCACTAACCACCAGCTTTCGGCTTGGCCAGTGAAACGGTCGGGGGCGACCGATCCTAAGTCCCGCGCGACGTGCTCGTTTTTCATGGCTAAGTTGTTCATTTTGTGCAGATAGGCTAGGATGGTTTTGAGGTCACCATCCCACTGAGGTACCGAATCGCGTGAAATTTTCTGGTCGAGGCGGACTCCCTGTTCGCGGGGAGCGGGGGAGTGATGGATGATGATCGCGGGTTGCCCATTGGGAAGAAATCCGTAGGCGATACTTCCTGGCGGGGGGGATCTCCGCCTGGCGGTCCTCCATCCGGGGGCTGATACTGGTAGGGGTTCCAGTTCCAAGGAGGACGAGGAGGGCCCCTGTTTCCGCCCCCGTCGTTTCCACCTCCGCCTCCTCCACCTCCACCTCCGCCGCCTCCACCTCCGCCTCCGCCGCCTCCTCCACCGTTGTCACCTGAACCGTCTCCATTTCCTCGTGGAGGGGCGTACGGAGGACCTCTACCGTTGTTGCTTGGTGGGTCCGGAGGGTATCTCGGAGGGCCCGGTGGAGGTTCATAGTCCTTGGGCGGTGGATCGGGTTGATTCGGAAGGTGCGTCGAGGGAGGGATGTTCCCTCCACTCGCCGCATGACCGATAGGAGGAGCGTTGTAGAAGTAGGTGTAAGTACCATTAGCTCCTTTGACTACGTTGGGCGGGGCTTGCGAGACCGACGGAGTGGGTTGAGGCATGTGAGGCGGTAAGTCACGATGCGTTCCAGGAGGGACTGGGTACGGAGGATCCGTACGCCAGGCCTGTTGTGGATGCATAGCGGATAAGGGTTGACCTAGCGGGTAAACCGCGTCCCTGATGACTTGGGCAGCTCCGAAGTCCGGAAGAGCGTTGGAGTCGACTCGATTCCAGGGACCTGAAGATCGTCGCTCGTTAGCTGGAGGCGCTGTCTGATTCGGTTGCGAGTACGACTGATGGGCCGTAGGGGGTACGTCTTGGAATTGTACTCTTCGAGCAGGTTCATCCCGGTTGGGAGGCAATCCGAATCTTGGGTTGCCGAAGCTCGAGCGGTTCGTGTAACGAGGACGGGAGTCGACGTTGGTAGCCGGGAAGGGGACAGCGTCGGGAGTTCCCGCCGGGGCAGTGGTATCGTTGGTAGCGTAAGAGACTCCTTGAGTGAGCTCTTGCTCGACCGCTTCAGGGGACGACAGCGTTCGAGCGGAATGAGTGAGGTCGTCTTGAGAAATTGAGAAGTTGTGCGTTACGGGGTGTACCAACAGAGAGTTCGGTAGGACTTGAAAGCGTTGTTCGAAGGAAATGTGTGGCAAAGAGGGCATCTCTTCGTCGTTCTGAGCTGCTTGAACGCGGCGGAGTATGACCTCTTGATACTCAGGGGTAAGGTTGGGAAAGATCTCCGGTTTCTTAAGCCACTTGTCGAGCATCTCACGCTTAGTCTTCGAAGCGGTTAAGTCCTGACTGAAGTCCGACGCAGTTGATTTGACTGAAAGGGGATAGGTATGTCCTCGGTGAAGGGCTCGTCGTTGGTGAATCAGAGTGAGCGCTTTGGTTACGCGATACTGAATGGTTCGATGAGCGTCGGAAACCATTCCTCTGGACGAAGATCCTCGTAATGCGCCCATTAAGACGTCGGCGTGGTCCGACCTCCACTGGCGGTTCGCGTTTTCCAAACGAAGCATGGCAGTCACCAACGTTTCGATACCCTCCACTACATACACGATGCGGCCTAAGTGTTTCGCTTTCAGACCGTAGCGGGTCTCTTTGTCTTCGAGGATCTTCGTATCGTGTATGTCATCCGTTTCGAGCTCTTCGTTGGCTAGCTTGGTGGCTTCAGTGAATAGAGAGCCGTAGCGGTCGAAGGGGTCGGGAACGCTAAGGTCGAGGTATATCCTATGGGCTTCTTCAGGACGACATAGGTAAGGGAGGAACAAGCCAGTGTCGTCGAGCAGATCTCGCAAGTGTATCTTGTCGACGGCTTCCTTAGCCGCTTGACGGATGTCTGACGAGGAAGGAGGGCTCGGAGAACTGGGCGGGTTCGATGAAGACGTTCGCCAGGGTGTAGAGGTAGCTTGGGGCTCAACTCCGCTAAGTATGGACGGCGAGGGCTTCCCGGGTACTGGCATATGCAGTTGAGACGCTCCGGGCGTCGTAGAATCGGTAGGTGCTGAAGGACCCGTTCGTCGAGGCGTGCGCGGCTCCGGTTGAGCCGTGCTAGAACTGCTGTCTTCACGGGACGGGGTAGCGGGCACGTCAAGCGAGGAGTTCCTCACGTTGTCGTGGTTCCCGGGACCCGTGAAGAAACGACTGAACGGTCCAGGAGGGACCGAAGGTCGTGTGGCCTCGGACGTGTTTACCGGAGAGCGAAGAACTTCGCTCGTCCGGTCGAAGGTTGAAGGTCCGGGATTGCGAACGGGGCGTTTGTCGGCAGTCGCTTTGTCCGTAGGTCTCGGTTCCTGGACCTCGGACGAGACTGCAGGACTGGGGACTGAGACAAGGGTGAAGGGTGTGGTCGATCCGGACGGGACGGCAGAGTTCGGACGTACAGGGCGTACGGGGTAGCCCAGGAACGACGTACCGGCCGTGTGAGAGGGATTCGACATGAGGGAAAAAGATCCGGAGGTTCGCTGGGTAGTGGACCGGTCCCCTGAATGTCCACCAATGTTAGGGCTCGACGAATCGAGTCCTGGACACAGGGGACGGGCTACTCGGCGAACCTAACTTGGTGGTCGCTCCGCGACCGGGCAGACGAACGTGGCGAGTCGTGAGGTCGTGAAAGGCGTATAGCCCGTAAGAGTCGTACGAAGACGACGAGTCTTCGTTAAGGTCGTTCACGCGGCTATAGGGCACGCGCTGGCAGTCGGCGACGAGCCAGGCTGTTGCGGGGATCGGCGACGAGCTTACCCCAAGGCGAAGCGACGAGCTAACGCCTTTTGTACGAGAGTGCGACGAGCACTCTCGCTTGAGACCGAATCCCTAGTTCGTACGGCGCGAATAGATCGAGCGCGGACGAAGTGGTTGGGAGTAAAAGGCTAACTTCCATTTCGGTATGGCGCGCGCTCTACGGAGACGCGCGCCTACGAATACAAATATAGTAACAACGTAACTAAATACGGTAGGCGTACATTAATAGTTAGGCCCGGGCAACGAATGCCTGCGGGTCGCGGTTGTTATATGTAGCACGGAATAGATTAACGTACGCAGTCTTGATTCTATCCGTAGCGTCCGTAACACTGCGCAGACGTCGCATACCACTTATGCCGATTTCTCGGTCAGAGAGTCTCTCGCGCACGCCATGGGTGTCCACAAGCACCTCCTGAAGCGGAACTACAGCGATGCAGACAAAGTGGTGAAGAAGTTGCGGCGGGGGTCTCCGGTCCCGAGGATTGAGCCTGATCCGGATCCAGCGTTGCAAGCGGATGTGTCGTTTTCTACCGTGTCCTCGGGTCCTAGTGACACCCACGACCTGGATTACATCCCCGGGCCGCAGGGCAACGCAAAGAACAAAGGCATCCAGCGTCGCTGATCCGCTTTCGTCGCGCGTACTTTACTCAATCGTCGTCTTGTGTCCGATAGTCGTTCCAAATTGCGTGTACGTTATCTCCAAGGTCCGTCTCCCCTCGTGTGGTGTAAGTTGTTCGCTGTCGTCCGTTGTACTTGTACCTACTATGTCCTGCTTTCGTGCTATCGTAGATGTGTACTGCTACCCGTCATCGCACCGTATTCAATGACATTGCTATCCCTGAGAGAAAAGCGTGGTTATCCGTTCTTGTTACGTAAGGTATTGAACCCAGTCAATGTACCACTGTGACCAACCCTCAAACACGTCGCCACAAGCTGCGAGGCGTGCCTCACTCCGTTAACCATTGCCGACCTATCAGCTCAAGCATGTCCCTAGCACTGTCACCGGACGAGCAAGTGGACCTCGTCAAGTTGCTAGCCCGGACCAACTCGGAGTCGCTCACCCCCGCCTTATTGTCCTTGTTTGAGCGACTTCAGCAACCACGAGGCAATCAAGACACACCGGATGAACTTGCAGGACATTTCAAATGCCCCCGAAGTGAGTAGTCTGCGCTCTTTGGGAAGTAACCAATAATGAGATTGACCAGCGAGCCAAGTGAATCAATCTACATCAAGTGAACAAGACATATCGGTGGCTTCAATGTCTAGGACGAGTAATGGCGGTACCAGTGGTAGTGCGGTGGGATCTGGAAGCAATGAAGTACGGAACATTGGTATGTCTTTGCAACTGTTGCCTGAATACTGATCATCGTTCTGAGTCTATATGGATAGGGATGCACAGCCCTGCAGTCACCGTTACCCCAGACTCCGGGATAGGCCCTGTGCGACCGGCGAGGTCCGTGCGTGCCTCTCGGGTGCAAAATTCACCTTACGCAGCGGAGGACGGCCGTTCTGCAAATTCCAAATTCCCGAGGAATGCGCTCCGCTTGCTCAAGCCGCCACATCCGGAGCCTGATTGTATCCGTGGGGGTATCCAACTAGCTGTTAAGCAGTGGGATACACTAGAGGCACCCGTGCAAGCATTATCAGCTGCCGTATCCAAGTCACTTCACATGCTCACCGCGGATCTCACGTCTGAGAGACTTCTAGACACCGGCAGAGCGGTGCAGCAGACGACGGCACTGTTACAGGGTGCCCCGTACAAGGAAGACGAGTCAATCACAGATTTGGCAGCCAGGTGCTCAACTAGCTTGAAGGTCGACGCATCCGCGAGTTTCTGGGTGATGGTTAGCCTTATTCGACTGGCCTGTAGGGTGGCAAAGTAAGTCTTGTATTGTATTCCGTCTCAGGTGCTCATGTACTTCACAATCACCTAGGCTCCTTCACGCGGACAAGGATTTGACTGTGACCGGTATTTGGCGGAATGAGTTCGGTCGAACTAAAGGCGCGCCAAGCAAAAGGTGGTTCCAAGACTGGAACACCATGGGTATTAAATTCGCGCGAATTGCGGGTGGAGGTGAGTCGCGTTCTCTCACATCATGAAGAGCGTGCTGGGAAATGACGTCGGTGCAGGCTCAATCTACGCCCTAGTACTAGTCGCTTCACAAAATCTCAGAGTTCGCCTCGGCACCGCTGATGGACAGGTCGCACAGCAGATAGGCAACTTGCTGAGGTGGCCGGATGGTAAGTGACGGATCTCT